TTTATCCAGATGGATGCTAATGATATTTTAACTTTGGAATATTATTGTGATCATTTATGAAAAGGGGGCAGCTCTAGTCAAGAGAAGCTGAAGAGAGCTGTGGTATCAGAGAGATAGGGAACTTACCTTATCTTGAGTTACTAACCTGGGCCAGTTACTACAGCATTATCAGATTTAATCGGCACAGTCACTGTGCCTGGTATCTGCTTTTGACCTTATTATACGCATTAGGAAGGTAGACTATTTCCTCTCACCCAAATTCCTTCAATGGCTCCTCTTTGGATTAAATGTAAACTTCCTAACTTGGATGATAAAACCCTCATTCTTTAGCCTTTGTTAATTTTTACAGTTTCATCTTTCATTTCTTACCTAGTCTCCAAGTTTACAGATCTTTTGCATTTTAAATTTCTCACAAGTTGTGTCTTCTGCTGTGAACAGTAGTCCCTGTTCTTGTCCCCGCCACTTAGTGACTAACTCCTTTTCAGTATTTAGGTTTCAAGTTAAGTATCACATCCTCCAGGTAAGTTCACTGAGTCCACCATGCCCACAGCAATGTTCCTTCATTCATATAACAAATACAAGGTCTGTCCGGAAAAAGTCCAGCCTTAGTTTATATAATGAGAACAGTTTGCATGACATCGGTGTAACCTGGCAGCCAAGAAGAATGGACTGGAATGCGCATGCGTGGGCAATGATGACTACATTGTATTAGTCAGTGAGGGTGGTAGACGCCATTGAGTGAACATGTGTACTGTGAGGCCATCGCATTCAAAATGACCGAGCAAATAGAACAATGAATCTGTGTCTAATTTTGCATTAAGCCTGAACATTTCCCTGTGGAAACTATCCGGATAATTCAGAAGACTGCAGCTATGGGCAACTGGTGATTGGCATCTTCATCATGACAATGTGCCCACTTATACATCACATCCCGTGTAGATGTTTTGGCAAAACATCAAATCATCCAGGTGACTCAGCCTCCCTACAGCCTAGATTTGGTGCCCTGTGACTCCTGGCATTTCCCAAAACTAAAATCACCTTTGAAAAGGAAAACGTTTCAGACCATTGATGAGATTCAGGAAAATATGATGGGTCAGCTGATGGTGATTGGGAGAACTGTGAGGTCCCAAGGTGCCTTCTTTAAAAGGGACTGAGGCTTCATTGTCCTATGTACAATGTTTCTTGTATCTTACATCTTCAACAACTGTCTTTATTTTTCATAGTAAATGTATAGATACTTTTTGGACAGACATTGTCATTTATAGTATCCCAGGTACTATCCTCGGCACTAGGAATGTAACAATGAGCAAAGAAGAAAGAAAATCTCTGCCTGTCTAGCTAATACTCTAGTATTATTTAGTTCAGTGTCCATCATTACACACTTCCTTCATGAGAGGATCGATTATGTCTTAGGTTGTTCTGTTACATTTTTAGGGTCTAACTCAATGGGATATTGTAGGAATGTTGCAGGCATTTAATATTTATTGAATTGGGGCACAAATGAATGACTTCATTTACTGTTTAATTTATAATAGTTGCATAGAAGTATAAGAATGTTCTGTCTGAACCCTTTTATCTTTTCACACTGCTGTCATCTAACACTAGACCTCATTGTCTTATGACTGTATTATTGTAGTGAATCTCTAATTGAAAGCAACCTTGTTTTCAATTTTTCTACATCATTGAATTCTCATAGAGCTGTCAGACTTAATATTCTCTCACTACTCGGATTGTTTTCCTTCTTCTTAAAACATCTCATACTGAAACCCAAGTCCCTTCATAATCTAATGTCACCTTTCTACTCTAATTTATCTCCTACTCTTTCACATATGCCTTCTAATCAATCCTTTTATCTATCTATCTATCTATCTATCTATCTATCTATCTATCTATCTATCTTACAGCCCACTTATTCTGGTTCATTTTCACCTTCCTACCGAAAGATTCCTTCCTCCTATTTTCAGTTTGCTACAGATTTTATCAGCACAGCAAAGTCACTTCCCTTTGGTTAAGTCTTCTTTGACAATGTCAACCAACCTTTATTCTCATAATTTCTGATTTCCTGAAAGACTCTATATCAGTAGTATTCCTAAACAAGTTTTAAGCAGCAGAATCTATCTAACCCCCGCTCCTAAACCACCAGCACACACATACATACACAGAGAAAGAAAGAAGTCTCACATGGGACTCGAAGGTAAAAAAAAAATAAATAAATAAAAGTATAGCTTATTGTAATATGATGCTAACACGTCACGTGTGCCCTGTAGCTCTATAGAACACATTGAAACCAGCGTATGAGCTCAGCCACACTGATCTTTGCTTGGTCTTACTATTAGCAAGGGCAGGTCAAAGGTGGTCAGGGTGACTTAGCACTATTGAGAGGAAGATTACTTACTCAGGAAACAGAAGGAAAGGATCATACTAGCCATGCCTGCAAACAGTTTAAGCCCCATGTTTTTGGCTTCTTACCACTTCCCAGGAAACATCTGTAGGAAACAGAATAGAGTCTGATTCTATTCCTTTCTCTAGTTCTGAACATTTGAAATGTTAAGAAGCCTTTAGGCTAGACCCCCTTAAACCTTTTTTGTTGTTCACATTTCACATGTCCAGAGGCCAGAGTCCATGGTCAAAGATCAATGTATTACTGATGAAAGGTCAACTTAATAGCAGTTTAGCAGTTGGAAGCTCTAAGTCCTTATTCATAGGTGTATTATATCCCAAGTATACCTTAAGATTCTTAATGGAATAAATTGTTTTTATATTCCTTTACTATAAAATTACATATTAGTCTTTAATTATTTCATAATGATATAATCTTGTCTTTCCACCAGTTTTCAAGAATGACCAGTTTTTAATTCTAGAACACCTATCGTATAGGAGGAACTTAATAAATACTTGCTAATTAAGACTGAATAAAACATCCTAGTTTATGAAGTTGTCTATTTTATAGGATTAGTCACAATTTGTACTCTCTAACATGTGAGTTCTCCATATAAAGTATCAAATCATCACAGTACAGTTCAAATGTTCTTTAGTAAAATATAATTCAATTTGTGACATTATTAATAATAGATCTCATATTCTAAAAGGTAGCTTTATATGTTTTAAGAACATCAAAATTTTTACTTAGAATACATTAAAAAAGAAATACAGAAGGTAGAAAGAGTTCTGGAAATTTAATGAAATAGATCTATAAAGAAATGTAACTGGAAATTATGTGATTTTATAAAACAAACTTTTCCCTAATAAAACTCAGTTTAGTAACTCACCAAACACATCATGAACATGCTTTTTAATTTTTTGTATTTTGTCAAGGGGAAGGAAAAGAGTTGATTGACCATCCTGATTGGTGTTTTTAGCAATTCAAATACATAACAAACATCCATCATTTTTAATTGATGATAATTAACCTAATTTTGAAATTATGATTACTAACAAATCACAAGTTATGATGATTTGCAACTATTTTCTGTTTTCTAAACACCTGCATTAATTTGCCGTGATCACTTACTTTATGTATGTCATATGTAACATGTTAGGAAAACAAGATCTTTGCACAATTCATTAGATATTTGTCAAATGCTGAAGAAACAAACTTATGACATGATGATGCATTTTTAGAGGCAAGTACGTATGTAAATGTGCAAAATATATAAATACTTTATGGATGCTGTGATTTAAATCAGTTAGGTAATTGTGATTCCTAGTTGTACTCACAGAAAAAAATAAAATTGATGGTTTGTTTCACTATGAAATACATTTATCTGCATTCAAGAAGTTTTCGACTAAATATTAGCTCTGAAATGGAAATTTGAGATAACTTATTACAAGTTTTCAAAGTTTTAAATTGATACTCCCTTTGGATAAGCAAAACAATCTCATACCTTAATATAATTTAAAATTTCAAAATAAAACATTACTGAAGTAAATGAGAAGTATTTATAATTTGACATATATTCTTAGAAAATAATATATCCTCCTGCTTCTGTTAAGAAATTTGGCAGATGGTAAACAGGCAATGAAATGATCTGCCCATAGAAAATATTTATGGGAGACATAAGTCTTAAACCCATGTTTCTTGACTGGTACTCGAAAGTTTCAGAATGGAGAGGGTCATATTCTGATGCCAGGAGGCCAATAATTTTTTAATACCATTTTGTGTATGTATTTCTTCTCAACTATTCTGTAAAATTCTTGAGACTAAGTTTCATGCATTCTGTTTCTTTATTGTCGCAATATAATTAAACATAAGTGAAAAATTATCAGCCTGATGTTATTTATTCATCCTTTTAATACAGCACATTTAGCAAATTTTTTTCAGATATATAAATGAATAAATAATTCTGAAATATCTTCCTAATGAAAGATTGATAAGGAAATGATAGGTTAAAGAAAACTAGGCAGAATTTAAAAATAGCCTATTGCCTTTTTTAGAGTTATAGTCCAGAAAATACTTTCACTTAACTGAGTTTTAAATGAATGTGTTCTAACATGTCTGAGTTGTTCATATATTTTTTAATAATTGCTCAATTAGGAATTAAAACATCCATTTCCACATATGCCTCATATAACAAATAAGCTTATATATTTTTACTGAGGGAATTAAAGTTACTTAATTCATTTAATCTCTCTTTTTATTAAGTCATTTAAGCATTGTTTTGTTATTGTTATTATTAGCTTAGTACACTTACTAGTAGGCATAACTATAGCTGACTACTTGAAAGTCAGTGATGGATAAAAACCCTTTCTTCTAATATCCTCACTGCCTATAATTGCCAAATTAATGATGACTATATGGACTCTAGAATTAAATATCATTAACTTGCTTTCCTTGAGTTTAAAAAATATTAAAAATAACATAATATTTTCAATTGTTAAAATTGTAGGAGTGTCATGACAGGAATAAAAGATGACTCACTTTTTTTTCCTACTTAGAAGATTTTTCTTAACCAAGTTTCCCAGAATTCTAGTAAGAGCTGGCTCTTTAAAAAACCCATTTGGTGCTCACTTCAGCAGCCCATATACTAAAATTGGAACAATACAGAGAAGATTAGCACAGCCCCTGCATAAGCATGACACGAAAATCCATGAAGCATTTCGTATTTTTTAGGAAAAAAAAATCCATTTGGTGAAATACCTTATATTTCTTCTATTTACTATGTCGCTTTCAGCTTTAAACCATCACACAGCCATGGAATAGAGTGGTCTTGTAAATGAGCTTTGCTGCAAGGACAACTTTAATAGAATAACAATAAAAAATGATTTATTAAAAAAAAAAAGAAAGAAAATGAGACTACCTGGAAATTCGGCATGGTGTTGCTACCCACTGAAAGTTTGGTAATGTCACTAAAGTTATTTGGAGATATTTTCAGTCTTAGAAAATTAAACTTGTGAAGCATGAGACCTAGTTTATTTGATTTTAACCTTAACAACTTTCAACATAAGATAGCATTTGAATAAAAAGTAGAAAAAATACAGCAACTCTTTATATGTTTTATTTATGATGCTATTGAGTACAGGTACTTGGATCATAAATCTGGCAAAGCGTTTGAGAGGTTTTTTGGGTAGGCATCCTCTGGAATAGCTTCCACATCTTCTACTACATATTGTGTCAGTATAATCCTTGTGCCACAAGCATGTTAAGGTTTTTTCTTCCTTATGTTATTTCATTTAGTTAACAAAAACTTACTAAAAGCAGGTTTATTACGAAGCCCCTTATAGATGAGGCATCTGTGATCTCCTACAAAGATGAAGTATCTTGTCCTAGTTACACAAGTGGCAACATGATAAAAGTGTAAAGAAATGTAGTAAAAAAAGAATAAAGTGTGCCCATGTAAAGGAAGAGATTGGGTAAAGCAAATCAGAATGATCCATGGATTCCATAGATAATAAAGCTGTTTGAGGGAGAATGAATAAAATAATGATTAACTAAGAGGCCAGAGCTTATGGATTAAGTTAATTAAATCAGGAGGAACACACATACAAACTAACAAACAGCAAATATAAAATCACGAGGTCTTGGTACATAGATTGTGTTCTTAACCATCACACTATGCTGCCTCTCCCCAAGGAAGGAATAACACATGGTGGGGGGTGGAAAGCCGCAGCTACCAAACATTTTTTTTTTAATCCCAAAATACAGGGTTGGAAGGCCCAAGATGGAAACCTTAAGGCACAGAACTGTAACCCCCAGATCTGGTTACAGTAATGAGAATCCATCTTTCAGAGTCCTGAAGGGAGTTCATGGGGATCTGAAACCTAGGATCAGTATTTCAAAAAGTAAAGAGAAGAGTTCATTTACAAATAAATATATATAGCACACAAGTTTTCAAATTTATTTACATTTGGCTGAAATTAAATCAACTCATAGTGTTTATCCAATACTCTTAATTGACTGGCGATGACAGTCAAGAGTTTAGTGAACTACATAATGTGAATAAATCCACATATCAAATAACTGTTGGTTTCCAGGACTGACCAAACTTGGACACACAAACAGAGTGATGACTAAATTTAATTAATATCACCGTATTATATTAATACATACTTATTATTAATGCCACAGCCAAACTCGTGACGTAAATAATTCCATGATGCTATGAATTCTTAATAGATATGTACTTTCTTAAAATCTGGATTGTTGCTGAAATGGAAAAACAGTGATAAGAGATGGAAAAAGAATGCACTCTAATTCAGTAATTAAGTTCTTCTAGTAAGCAAAGTCTTGTAAAGCATTCAACCCACAAAGGAAAAAATAAACTTCAAAAAATAATTTCAACAGTGAGAACATTCCTCTTTAGGATAAATAAAAATTAAAGTTTCAGTAACTTATTTTTCTCTTGATTGGAATACACTGGATATACCATGGTGTTGTATATGCTTGATCCTATAAAATAGTTTAAACACACAGACTAATCTAGTTTCTTTCTATCTGATTATAATTATAAACTGAGACTTAGGGGATTCATGAAATATTTAGTACTTGGTTGGTGTGATTATTGTAACCTACAATATAGTCCATTGTTTTTTCAGTTGTCCTGTTACTTTTCTCATTAACACTGGCTGACAGATAGTTTGTCTTTGTAAAACAGCATTATAAATGTAAACAAATGTTTGAAATTATGGCTATTAATCTGCACTGATGCTATTACTGTTTTGTATTTAATTTCATAGCTTTTTTTTTTCCCTATTAAAATCCTTGAAATTTGTGGTTAGCAAATTTTTTATCTGATTTAGAGACTTTTTGTTATTGTTTGGTACTGTCAAACTACAGTTCCCTGGTTTAGAATTTGTATTTTGTGTTTTACAAAGTACTAAACACATTTTTAACATTTGAAAAATAATATTAACTATGGGAGAATATTAATTATTTTGAAGTGTACCTCTTTAGTGAATTACACTCCTGTTATTTTTTTCTTGGTTAGCTTACTTTACAGTTGATGAAGATTTTTCGAGATAAGTGAATGCTGTAATAAACTAACTCACTTTTATCTCAGTAATTGCCTGACTGCAAGCATTTACACATCTGCTAATAACCTGCACGTGTTTGTTCTGGCTGGTTTGTACTTGAATTTATCACCCACTAAAGGTTACATAATCCTGGATTATCACCAGCGGGGAAACAGATATGTACTTGTGATACCCACTGTGTTTAACCTCTAACAAAACCTCTAAATGCAAGATCTTTCTCTGCAAAATTGCAGATTTGGGAAAAGAAAAAATTGTAACAGATAAAGAATTCAAAATAAGTTGAACAGGTAATCCCCTCATGCTGAGAATTAGACATAATGATAGTTCCTTAACATTAGAAATTTTATTGTCTTGGGAAAATGTGGCTGTTGTGGAAAAATATTGGGTTGAAGTAAATAAAGCTGAAAGTAGAGTGGAACTCTTAATGGCGAAATTGCTTGGCGATTCAGTAACATCTTTTCTAAAAGAAAAATTACAATCTGTTAGTTTAGTAAGAACTGGAAAAACTTGTAGCAGTTACTCTATTTCATGCAAGTCTTCCAAGATAATAAAAGCCGGTATTTTGGAGGGACGAAAAGTTCTTTATAGAAAAATAAATAATGAGGCAAGAAAATTTAAAAGCACTTGACTTCTAAATCATAATATTGGTACAAATTTGAAATGCTGGTCCATTAAAAATGTAGTTTTCACCTACAGTTCATTGTTTGTTTGTTTTTAACAACTACTCATCTGTCCCTAGGCATTCTAATTTGTGTAAGTTTTCTTTAACCTGGAATTCTATGACATAAAATTTTTGCTTAGGAAGAAACTGATCCAATTATGTTTTTTGCTGTATTTCCTTTTTTATAGGCAAGTAAACAGGGCCAATGTATAAATGTAAGCATTAATTAAAATCTATCTTACGTAGTTTTATATGAAAGTATATATTTTATATTACATGTTTAAAATGTCTCCTACTAAAGATGACAGTTTTGTGGGTGCTTTAAAAATTATCAATTGTATAGCAATTATACTAGGATTTCATCCTAGTATGTACAGTACTGTCTAGTGTTTATATTTCCAATGTAGCAATTTAATTCTCAATGTGAACTATGAAATAATGGAATTCTTTGAAAAAATAATTGTTATAGATACACTTACTTGCAGCTTCGTTAAATTAATGTGGACTTGCATACCTAATTACTCATATAATATATGCATGGTGGTTGTTTGGAACACTAAATCCCTTTCAATGGAGAGTTACTGGGATTTCTCTAGTGAGGAAATGTAAGGCAAAGACTTGGTCCTGGTTGTGGTTATCTTTCCAACTTCCTCCTTCCGCTGCCTGAGATTATTTTCTGAAGGGCCTGTTTGTCCTCAACATGCTGGCCATTATCTTTTCTACTTAGTACTGTGCTGGTTTTAGGGACTGTTAGACTTGCTCTGTGACTGATTCATTGTCCAGTCTGTAGATCACAAGGCCTTACTCAGCTCACTACAAAGAGCCCCTTGTTACTGACCCAACTGTTTATTGATGTTTCTCTTTAGCAGACTTTGCTGTAATCTACAGTGAATAAAGTCTTAAAGTTGTTTAATGACTCCCTAATTGCTGTGCTGACCACTAATCTCCAAATAATCCCTCCTTTGTGATGGGCGGCTTTACACACAGACACAGACACACTTGAACCCCCTTAGACTGATTTCTAAACCAAATCACCAGCCCTCCAGCAGTGATATTAAAGACTATATCCCCTTCCCTAAGAAATAAAGACAAATCCTTTTTGTATGTTTTTTCAGTTTTCTACTTCAATATTCTGTATTCTCATTCAAAAGACATAGATCAAAAGTTGTTGTGCCCTGGCTGGTGTGGCTCAAGTGGATTGAACGCCGGCTTGCAAACCGAAGGGTCACCAGTTCTATTCCCAGTCAGGGCACATGCCAGGGTTGCTGGCCAGGTCACTGGTAGGGGACGCATGAGAGGCAACCAAACATGGATATTTCTCTCTGTCCATCTCCCTCCCTCCCTTCCCTCTCTGTGAAAATAAAGAAATAAAATATTTTTTAAAAAGTTGTTGACACTACTTGTGTGTGAGAATCATTTTCAAAAACGTTTTATTCAATGTGGGCTAGAGTCATCAGGAAAGGGAAGCAGTATTAAAAGGCAGTTATTCAAAAGGAATTGTTTGCTTAAGTACTACTTAGTAGTTGACTGTTTAGGCATAATTTGTGTATTTCCTGATAGTAAGAGAGAGAAATGTATGAATTCGTAAGCATCTCAGGATGTTGGTCACTCTTAACTCCATTTAGTTGTCATGACGATGTTAGAGTAGCTGCATTCAAAACCAACCCATTCACTTCACAGGGGGGAAAAAGAAACAAGAAGGAGATAAGCCACCTTCACACCAAATAGTTTCAACTGCTCAATGTATACCTACTTCTCACTTGTCCAATATAAAAACAAATGGAGGACTGCTTCTCATGGGGAAAATAACCATCCTGTCGTGGCACATTAGGTTGCTAATGGATAGGGGTACCAATGTTTCCGGGGCGGGGGGGGGGAGTGACACCCTGTTTTGTTTCATTATCTTTGATGTTCCAATTTCATTAAGTGCTTTAACTTTACCCATTGCTGATAGAAATATATACATCTCTGTTAAT